ATTGAGGTATCTTTCAGTAGAAAATATAGGAGGAAGTCTTTGAAGTGACTATGAGGTTTAATCCCCATTTTGTTCTATGGATAGTGATAACTGGAGTACACTGACCCCCAGTGGCCAAAGAGCTAAATGCCAGGCAGCAGAACTTGTGTGCTATAAATAGGTAAAGTTAAAATACCACTCTCCGAACGGTCGGTGAACAAATTGCCTCCTGCTACAGCCAAATATTTTAAATCTTGATTCAGTTCAGAGCACCTGCTGCCATTTTATGTGGAAACAAGGCTAAGCAACTCAAATATGCACAAAACATAGAGACTAGGGTGCAGAAAAATGTCAGCTCTGGACCACTTTCAGGCACACCCTGTGATGTCTGACCCAGCAGGGTCTTGAGACCAAAAGTCAAGACTGAGGACAACTGAGCCGCGTAGCTGCAGCAAAGCAAAATATACCTCCTGCATCTAATTGGAGACGAATCTTGACTGAAGAGAAATAAACGTTTCCAGAAAAAAGCAGAGCTGAGAAAAAAATGCCTATCCTCTTAAGACACTAGGAAAAACTGAGGCATGCTGGTAGCAAGAAGGGTTTATACCCTTGGATGGCCTCCTTTTTTTGTTTACCAGTGTCCAACCCACCTTCATGAACATTTTTCAAGTTTTTTATGAACAATATTCAAAACCAGTTTTTATTGTGCGGAAATGTTTGCTTTGAATATTTACCTTTCGTCTTGAAATGGAGAATTCTTTGTCACATTGCTTACATCCTGTTGCTTCATCATCCTTTAGCCATGTATGACCCTAAAAAAATAAAAGGACTTTGAATTACATTTGGCCAAATACTGCCAAACCAGAAAACCAATTAAGTAATGTACGATCACTGTATCATTATATGGTTACCCTTGCAGTCTATATTCCACTTTACATGCTAAGTTGCTTACATAGTAGGTAAGGTTGAATAAAGACATGGGTCCATCGAGTTCAACCCATGTGGGTGTGTGTGTGTGTGTTTCTAAGATTACCTGTACCTCTGTATATCTTGCTCCCTGAGAATAGTATCTAGACGGGACTTGAATGACTCCATACTCTATTTATACTAAATTTGTACATTAATATCAGTCTCTTATTTTCAAGAGTGAACAAGTTTAACGCTTGCAGTCTTTACTCATAGTTTAGGTCCTCTAACCCCTTTATTAGCATTGTCGCCCTTCTTCGGACTTTATCCAGCTCAAGGACATCCCTTCTGTGGATCGGTAATCAAAACTGAACCGTATACTGAAGATGTGGCTGAACCAGTTGAGAATTATACAGGTTGAGAATTATAGTACATTCCTTTTTATGCATGATAGTAACCTGCTTGCCTTTTTTGCTGCTGCCTGGCATCGCATGCTGTTACTAAGGTGGCTGTCCACTAGGACTCCAAAATCTTTTTCCACCTCAGATTCCCCCAGTGGAATGCCCAGTAATGAGTAGTTTGCATGTGTATTTTTAATTCCCAAATATATAACTTTACACTTCTGAATATTAAACCTTATCTGCCATGCCGATGCCCCACCCCCCTATTATATCCTGGTCTTCCTGTAAAATTGCTATGTCTTCTGTCGAGTTTATTGCCCTACAAATTTTGGTATCGGCAAAAACAGAAATGTTGCCAATACCAGTCCCAATATCATTGATAAACAGGTTGAATAGCAATTGCCCCAAGACGGAACCCTGGGGCACGCCACTGCCAACCAAGGAGCATTCAGAAAATGAGCCATTTATTGATACTCTCTTGACACATTCACTTAGCCAGTTCTCTAAAATACACACCATTTTAATAAAAATTGAGGCTTGTAATTTAAACATTGCTGAGGTACCATATCAAATACTTTTGCAAAATCAAGTTGGCTTGGTTTAAAAAATAATGCCTTTTCTAGGGGTTTCAAAATCACAATAATTCTCTTTCTCACAGAGCTAAAAAAAAACAGCATTTTTGTACTTCCCGTTAAATCAGTTTCTTGGAGATCATGAGGGGCACAGGATTCAGTTATTCTAGGACAACCGAGTTATTATGCTACCTTTAATTTCAATCTTTTACAACCCCTTTAGTTTTGGTGCAGAAAAGAGGAAAACTTCAGTCATCTGTTGCCAATCTTGCCAAACGAAAGAAAACGTTTTTCCTGAAACCACCAATGGCACAAACTTTTGCACTTGCAGTTAAGAGGATTTGTGGAAATCAAGGCAAAATCTAAAAGAACAAGAAAACTTTCCAAGAACTGCTGCCAAACCCACACATCATTGCAAAGTACCTGCGAGGAAGGTTTGGTGTTGCAGCATTCCACTATGCAGCTTTGCTTATACAAACATAATCTGCATGGAAGTGACATTTGTAGGAAGCCTTAACTAGACGTTTATTACAAACATCAGTGTCTGAGGAATGCAAAACAGCATCTAGACAAGTGAAAGGCCTTTTGGAAACAACTGCTGTAAGCAAACGAAGTAATAACTGGACTATTTTGCCACAAACATCAGACTTGTTTGGAGGAAAAAAACATCCTCTTGCCGAACGTTAAAAGTGGGGGTGGATCCATTATGCTTTGGGGCTTTGTTGCAGCCAGTGGCACAGGAAACATTGTACGTGTAGAGGAAAAAATTAAATATCGGCAAATTTTGGATGCCAAAGTGAAAAAGTCAGCCAAGAAGCTGAAAAATTAATGGCTTGTACAACAAAATAATGATCCTAAACATACCTCATCCTGAAGGCCGGAGGCATTGTAGAACTTTGGGTGGGATAAAGCCTTAATTCCTAGGTCCGCATATTACCTGGTAGCCAGTCCCAACTGTTCACAGGCCTTTCTATATGGGAGCTGACTGATATCCAAGGTTCTCTCATGCTCTGATATGACAGCCTGCTGCTAGGTGAAAAGATTGAGTGCTCACAGAACACTAAAAAGTAAAAAAGGTACAACCTGCTGCCTATTTTTGGGAACCCATAAGGGGACACCCTGTTGGTCAGGGTTTACTTAGTGGCACGCATGAGCAGATATAGGATTGCATTTCAAACAATTCAAAATATTAACAACCACTTACAAAGCCATCCACAACTCTGCCCCCGGCTATATCTCAAACCTGGTCTCAAAGTATCACCCTACCGTCCCCTCCGCTCTTCCCAAGACCTCCTGCTTTCCAGCTCCCTCATCAACTCCTCCCATGCTCGCCTCTAGGACTTCACTAGAGTCTCTCCTATCCTATGGAACTCTTTACCCCAACCTGTCCGTCTATCTCCCACACTGACTGCCTTTAGGTGTTCCCTAAAGACTCATCTCTTCAGAGAAGCCTATCCCACCTCAACCTAACCACTGAACTATCACTTTCTCAAATAATTCATCCCCACACAGCTACCTCCTCATGTATCACTTGCCCCTCCCTTTTAGATTGTAGGCCCTCACAGACAGGGCCCTCCTTACCATCCTGTCTTGAATTGTATTGTGATTGTAATGTCTTCCTTATATTGTAAAGCGCTGCACAAACTGTTGGCGCTATATAAATCATGCATAATAATATACGTTTCTTTTATGCTATGGACTTGCTGTACAAATCCCTCCTGAATTAAAACTCTGCTGTCTTGCTGAATAGAAGTGCAAGAGAAAACTGCTTGGACCGTTCCTGGGTGTCCCCAGGCCGAAACCAGTTGAGTGTGCCTTCCTTACAAGCTAGTGTTCAGATGTGTGCAGTACCTTAAAATGACAGACACCTATTGTGGAACACAATTTAGGATCTTATAAAACAGATAATATATTGGGAAATGCTAACCAGAAAGGGGTGAACATCTTAATGGCCCAGCAAAGGCAACAACTGACTGTCGCCAATCAGGCCTACTAAGAGGCACAGCAGCAAGTCAACCTGTCCCTACAGTACAGATTCAGGGCCTGTTAAGAGAGGCAGATGTTAGACCAGGGCCAACTTTTACACCTTAAAGCTGGTGCAGAGTGCTTTAAGAAAAACCTCAGCATCTATGAGAGAGTCATTGAACGTAAGAAACTTCCGTGTGCTAGCACCTTTTTTAACGGGGCAGCACCAAAAGGCCTATTTTTACAAAGCGCAAAATACTAAGGACTATCCTAAACTCAAATGAGAAATCCTAGCCAGGCACAGGGTTACCATGGTCGTCTGAGTGTAGTGTGTGTTCACATGGAAATATGCCCCTGGGAGGCACACAAGGTTTTTTAGATGTATGATTTGTTACACCATACACATTGTTGCAACTGGAGGCACTCAAGCCTGCTCAGATTGTGGAGCAAGTGGTCTGTGACTGTTACAACAGAGCTTTGCCTGTTAAAATATAGCGACATATTAGGCATACTTAATATATACTGTAGGTGTCTTGCTGCACTTCTTACTGGTATAGGATGTTCCTTTCTTCCGTTGTGAAGAAATACAAGTTTGCAAAAGGATGTCACCAGCACACCATTTAAGTGAAATCAACAAAAGTCCATTTATTAATGGAGTACTGTTATTCCAGTACATGCGATTTCGGGGCTGCACAGGGTCCCCTTCATCAGGCTCAGAATGAAACAACCAAAATGTTCAGTATTTGTGCTCCTCGCTGTACACCCTCTCCCTGTTCCCATCTCCAGGGGCGGAAGGACATGAAACACAAGAGAAGCCTCCTCACCTTCCGGTCTCTTACCAAGTACGTGACGTAAGGTAAGTCTGCTAAATGCTGGACAGGGAAGGGGGGGTGCGGGGGGAAGAAGCATTGCTGATTTTCATTATATTGAAATTTGCTGGGACTTATAGTCCTGCATAGCTGGTGGTAGTCTTCAATACTGTATAATGATTATACAGCAATGCAGAATAGCATCAACTATGCAGGACTACAAATCCCAGCAATACATGATATTATTAAGTAGGGATGCACCAGTGCCAATACTGGGCGTTTTCAAGAGGACTCGTACTTGTGAAGATCCCCCGATACTAAGCGCAGATACTGGTGTTCTGTCGAACACCAGTATCCGACATTTATTGACAAAGTATTTACTATAATATTATTCCATCCATCATTTACTGCCATGGATGGCATATTATTAACGGTCACAATTAACAACTGGAAAAAAAACATCCAATTTAACAAGGCCTGACATGGATTCTGCAGGACCTGCCTAACCTTGAGCATAGAACATGATTCTAAGAATCTCCTGACCTGCCCTGATCTAATGAAGCATCCATGATTGTGGAGTAAAGGGTAGGAACCTTGGCCACACTGTAAAGATCATTCAATAGAGTAGAAACAAAGAATGGATATGGAGGAATTTCCTCCAGAGGCATCAGATGCCCAACAAAGATACTCTAACCCAAACAGGATGCAAGCATGTTCTTCCTGCTGAGAATCTAGAGGAAGCATGGAGCCTCCAGCTATGATTTTTTTCCTGCTATGCAGGGGGTGATAAGCCCTGTGGTGTAAATCTCTGCTTTCAGTGCAGAGACCCATGGGTGACGAAAGCCAGATGCTATTGCATTGTTTCTAACAAAGACAGTGTGCTTGAGAGTAGCACTTTGTGTTGTCCAGCGCAGGGACAACTCCCAAGGTGAAGGTCCTGCAATACCGGAGGGATACACCAAGAAAGAGGGAACCATGTGTTCTGGTGACCCCAGGGCCCTAAGAGTGGAACAAAGAAGGATTGCAAGCCAACAAGAGAAGGGGAGACTATGTTAGGGGGATTCTCCCTCAACACCCTACAGACCCCTGATAGAGGGAAGGAAGAAAACTTCCTGACTGATAAGACAGGGTATAGACCTTTTTTAGAGAGGGTTTAAGCTGAACAGCTTTGGGTATGGCATTCAAAGCTAAGCTGAGGAAACTTATATCCAGATAGGTGCTATGTAAAGACCAGCTCAAGCAGCAGTGTCAGTAAGGAATCTTCATTGAAATCAGAGGGAAAGAATTCCATTGAGCAAAGAAGGTTTGCAAAAAATAGACTATCTTCAGCAGTGCTAAAGAAAAGGTGTTCAACCAACTAGGAAAATCGTACGATTTTCGGCGTTTTTTCCAGCGTGCGGGTTTTGGTAACGTGCTCGGAAGACGAAAGCCTCATGGGCCGGTGTGCGCAAGCGAACACCGCCCGCTCAGCATTGCAATCATCGGCAAGCCCTCCCCTCGGCGGGGAGGGCTTGCGATGATCGCAAGTACGATCTGCCTGTCCAAAATTCGTATGGAATTTTAATGTCCTTACAACCATCGCCCCAACAAAAGTTGTGTGATGGTTGTAAGATGTATGGCCAGCTTAACACTGAATCCAGAAAGTAAAACATGTGCTGTCCTCTTACCATACCTTAAGAGCTTTGTTAACCTCTTTGATGTCTTCCATCTTTAATTTTGACCTAGAAAAAACACAAATTATGTAAATAAATGTTCTTTAAAGCAAAAACAAAATTGTAATATAAACTATTCCACAACTACGTTTGTGTGAACCAAGTTTGGTTTGTTATATGGTTTGTGTTCACATTCTATAAAGATGCACATATAGATAAAACACGTTCTTTAATTTTGGATAGAGAAATGGTTAAAATCCTGTCAGTTTATTTTTTGCTGTCTGAGTCTCCTTGGGAAAACTAAATAGACAGAGAAAGGAAATCTCAAACTTAGTACAAAGTGAGGGGAATTCATAGATACATAGTTACATAGTGTTTGAGGTTGAATAAAGACATTAGTCCATCAAGTCCAACCTATTAGGATCTCATTCTAGGAGTACCTGTACCCCTGTACACTGCCATTCCTTTCTTAAATAGTTGTCACTGGAACAAGATTTAAAAAAAGGAACAATGATGTTCTTGTATCTCTTAAAATCAAAATGTGAACTGCTGCTCTGGCCATCACGTTTAATTTCTGTTTTTTTTTTCCATTTCTGGGCTCACCATACCCCCAATATAGCACCAGAATTTGAGCCAAATAATTCTCCAACGTACCACAGCAGGTTTCAGTTTAGAGGCAATCATATACTGCCTGCTGCTGCCTTAACCCGGGCGAGAGAACAGGTAAAAGTGGTAAATGGGGTGCTCCAAGAGCCAGGGGTGGAGACTATTTTCCCTCATTTTACTGTGCAAAATGACTTATTATATAGGGTGGATAATATAGAGGGAGAGAGACTGCACCAGTTTCATGTTTGCTGTGCGAAAGGTACCACAAGCCTCCATCGGCTTCTCTCCTTTTGAGTTACTGTATGGCCGCCATCTGAGGGGCCTGTTAGATATAGCAAAGGAGACTTGGGAACAAGAGGCCACTCCTCTCAAAAGCATAGTGGAGCATACTGCTCAAATGCAGGAACGGATTGAAAAAGTGATGCCTATTGTGAAATCACACTTACAACCGGCTCAACAAGCTCAGGCTAGAGTATATAACCGTTCGGACAAGGTCCAAACCTTTAACCTAAGTGACAGAGTACTTGTATTTAGAAAATTTCTAATTCCCTCAAAATAGGAGATCCTACCAGAGAGCAAAATTATTTCAGACAAAAAATTATTTCAAACCAAAATTAGATTTCTATTATAACATTATTTATGCTCTCATATGAAAAAACAAAAATTCAACAGACATTTAAAATTACTAAAAACTAGCAACCCCTTCAATGGCTCTGATGTCATAAATAGAGCTAGAAGCATATTATACAGTTATCCAGCAAGGGTGGTGAAGATCCAGAGATATTTGTTTTACAGCCTGTGTGTCTGTTATCTCACTTTGTGTCTAGCCGTCTAATAGATTAGTTAATAGCACTCTAGATTTGCTGTATTCCTCTGATGTTTAAAGTATTGGTATGGGGGGGGTGTGGCTAGGGAGCGGATGTGAGTGGGCATGCACGCGTGGACCCGGCGTGGTGTGGAAGCTGGTGCCCGGAATGTCCTCTGCTCTGATCCGGACTTGCTGACCTTGCTGGCGAATAGCTCCCCCCGCTACACATACCTGTGCCATGGTCTGCTGCGCTCTGGTCTGCTGGAGGGGTGGATGTTGGCTGGTCCATCTCTGATGCCGCTCTGAGTCGCGGTGAGTGAAGGCTGGATGGTCGGCTGGGAAGGCAGAAGGAGCTGAGGTGCCGTTTCTCTGTTGGCTCCCTCCGGTGGCTCTAAGTGGAAGTGAGAAGGCTGGATGGTGGAGAAGGAATTGGAGGTTGGTGATTTGGCTCCCCCTAGTGGCAACTGAGGAATAGTGTGCCTGCTCAGTACTCTCTGCTCGTATTAAAGGGGAAAAATATATAAAGAAAATGACTAGAACTGGGCCAAAAAAAGAGACTGTCCAAGAGGCTGATAGTAGAGGGGGAACTAAGCAATCACCACGTGAGCCGAAACAGTCCAGTAAAGAGAAGCAGAAAGAAGTGGCGTCAAAACTGGAAAAGTTCGCTAGAGGAAATACGACAGATATTGATGCCAACCAAAAAAACAAAATGCGATTAAGTCTGGGAGACAAGTCTCTATGTAAAATTTCCAAGGATCTGTTTGTGGAAGAAGGGGGGGCTACAGGGGGGACTTTGGACATATCCAATGGGTGTTTATCCCTGCAAGATTCTGATAATCCAGGCGAACCTTCTCTCAAGGATGTGCTCTTAGCAGTTCAAGCCAGTAATACTACTCTGGCAACCATGGCGGAGCAAATACAAGCTACACGGATAGATATATCCCTTCTCAGGCAAGATATGCAGAAGTTCAAAGAAAGGCTGACGGAGGCAGAAGACAGAATTAACAAACTGGAGGATGTGAATGCTTCTGTATGTGCCGATCTTAAAATGGCATTGCAAAAAGTTACTATTAATTCTAGCAAGATCGAAGAATTGGAAAACGGAGCAAGGCGTAATAACATCAGAATGGTGGGAATGCCTGAAAAGTCTGAGGGGTTAAATCAGTGGGTGTATATGGAAAATTGGATCCTAGAGACAATAGGGAAAGAATACTTATCTCCAATGTTTATGATCAAAAGTGCTTATAGAATTCCTGCACATACGAAGGTACATGGAAATTTTCCAAGAACTATGTTGCTTAAAGTGACTAATTACAGAGATAAGGAGGCAATTCTCCGTAAAGTTCGTGAATTGGGAGCTATATCTGTGGCAGGTACTCAAGTGATGCTATTTTCAGACTTTTCACAGGAAGTTCAGAAAAAAATAGCTCAATACCAGGAAGTGAAAAAACGAATGCGCCAAATGAACATACAGTATTCAATGCTATATTCTGCAAAAATGTGTATAACTCCTGATGATAGGACTCATTTTTTTGAATCCCCCTTAGCAGTCTCTGCCTGGTTGGATAAATATTCAATGAGTGATACAAGAGGCTAGGAGCTATGAGGTTTAATGTGGGGCATGAGGATGGAGTATATTTTGAATATTAGACACACCACGCTGGTGATTTGGAATGTAAGATGAATGGGTGGGTAAAATTAATGTCTCTAACCCCCTATATGGCTCCTAAAGTGGAGTATATTTTGATGGGGGGTCAATGTAGCAATGGGCTGTTTTTGTTTTGTTATTGTGTTGTGCAATGTGCGTTGTGGTTTTTTGGATTATTTTTTTTTTGTTCTTTGTTTTTGTTTTGTTTTTTTTTTTGTTGCTTGGCTTTTTCTCTTCCTCTCCTGGGTTCTTCTTGTCTCTCAAGTATCAAAGTTTTGCCTATATTGGGGGGCTATGCCCAATTGCTTTGTATCATTACATATGGTAGTTAAATATAATGGATAAGAAAAAAAATATATCTATAATATCTTGGAACGTTAGGGGTCTGGGGAATAAGGCAAAGCGATGTGCGGTACTATCCAGCATTATGTCTCATAAGCCGTCAATTATCTGCTTGCAGGAAACGCATTTGGTGGGAGACAGTGTTGGATGGTTGGAACGCAGATTTCTGCAATATACAGCTCATGCATGCTATTCAACATACTCTAGAGGGGTGTCAATACTAGTCTGTAAAGGTATAGCTTTCTCATGTATACAAGCATTGTGGGATAAAGAGGGTAGATATGTATTTCTGCATTGTAAAATCTATGAAGTAGAATGCGTGTTGGTAAACATATATATCCCCCCTCCCTACTCTAATGAGGTCCTCCGGAAGTTGTTATTATTTATTAAAGATAAGTTACCTATTTATATTATTGTGATGGGGGATTTTAATAATTAGATGAATATAGCGTTAGATAAATTCCCGGTAAATAAGCACTTGGATGTCACAAAAAAAACACTACTTTTTATAATTTTTCTAAAGAAATAGGGTTGTTAGATGTGTGGTGGATGATGCACCCAGAGGAACACCAATACACATAGACTATCTAAGGTTATTCAGAAGGTAATAAACTCGGATCAAAGCGGATTTATGCCTAATAAGTCAACGGCAGACAATGTGCGAAGGCTATATGTGAATATGCAAGTTCCCACGGAGATAATGGGGAATAGAGTTTTGTTGTCCCTGGACATTATGCATATCTAGAAGATAATTTAATCCAACTTTGCAGAAATTTCAGAAACAATGCAATATATGGTGTAAATTCCCCCTTTCCCCGGTTGGCAGATAAAATCTTATCAAAATGATTTGGATGTATGTAATTGAATGTGCAGCGCTCCAGATCACCATATAGTGAATCGACTCAGTATAACATCATTACCATATACATCAAAAATCTCAAAAGAAGTGCGAATGTGTATAAAACAAATTAAATTACTTGCTATTATAGAACAATCGTGCCTCACATATAACAATCAAAATAATATCAAAATCTCAAAGGTGCGAAAGGTGTATAAAATTTCTATGAGAATAAATTCAAACATTAAAAAATGTCTCACACATAAAAATCAATCCAAAACGTATGGATTCATCAGCTTGAATCCACATTGCTAGGGAAGATCCACTTAAAAGGATTAAGTGCAGGCTTGAGTAAAAATGCCAGCTACCCAAAAGACAGCTTAGATACCTGTTTCTGAAGACCTTTCAGACAATTCAGAGGATTCTGAAAAAACACCATTGAATTCTTTAAGTGATTCTCATGATGCTGTCCGAGATAGTGAACATAAAAGAAAAAAAGCTTTCACGCAAAATGGACTTCACATCTTAACCGAGGAAGTATTAAATAATTTTGATATTCTGATGGGGAAAATGTCTGTGAAAACTACTCTTGCTATGAAAACAACAATATGGAACGAGATACTGGATAAGGTGCAGAGGAAAAAACTTGTAATGTAGAAGTTCATGTGATTGAAGATTCCATAAATAATCAATCAGAAACATCTGAGGTTTGGTGAGTGTGCACCCCAGAGGGGAGTCTTTGACGTGGACACCTTAATGTGGAATTCATTCTTATCTTCAACACGCTGTTTGCACCGGACGTTTCTAAATGTCCAAAGTGTGGGGTT